TCTCAAAAAATATACAAAATAATAATAAAATAAAAAGATTAACACCGACTTCAAAAAGTTAAACCTCCACAAGGAATTTAAAAATATTAAAGGTCACACAATTCAAATGGTGTGATACTGGTGCAAACACAAATACACAGATCAGAAAAGATTGCCCTAAAAACACAAGCAAATATAAACAAGAGTATAATGTGTCACCAAGAAAGTAGAACAAAACAATGAACCAAAGAATTACAGAACAGCTGGCATTGGTATGTGACTGGAGGAGAGAGGGAATGTCAATTTAGACTCCGAATTTATAACCTGGAGTGAAATACATTGGATACAAAATTTAAATACAAAGTTTTAAAAAAACTGTGGAAGAGGGTAAGTATCAGACATGATTTTTGGTTTAAAAAATGAGGAAGGTGACAGGGGCTTTAATTTTTATTATTCATTAGTATGAATTCCTTGATGACGAATGAGATCCGAGCCACTACTAAATGCCTTCCCACATTCCTTACAGTTATAGGGCTTTTCACCAGTGTGAATTCTCAGATGTCGAGTAAGGTTTGAGCATTTATTAAAGGCCTTTCCGCATTCATTACATTCATATGGCTTTTCATCCGTATGAATTCTCTGATGCTGGAAAAGTTGTGAGTTCTGAGTAAAGGCCTTCCCACATTCAAGACATTCAAAGGGTTTCTCACCAGCGTGAATTCTCTGATGTTGACGAAGCTGTGAGCTCTGAGTAAAAGCCTTTCCGCATTCCTTACAATCATAGGGTTTCTCACCAGTGTGAATTCTCTGATGATTAGTAAGTGCTGAGCCACTACTAAAGGCTTTGCCACATTCCTTGCACTCATAGGGTTTCTCACCAGTATGAATTCTCTGATGTTGAACAAGCTTTGAGCTCTGGGTAAAGGCTTTGCCACATTCCTTACATTCATAGGGTTTCTCACCTGTATGAATTCGCACATGCTGAAAAAGTTGTGAGCTTTTAGTAAAGGCTTTCCCACATACCTTACATGCATAAGGCTTTTCACCGGTGTGAATTCGCTGATGGTCAATAAGATTTGAGCAATAACTAAAGGCCTTCCCACATTCCTTACATTCATAGGGTTTCTTACCGGTATGGATTCTCTGATGTTGAGAAAGGTATGAGCTACAACTGAAGGCCTTTCCACACTCCTTACATTCAAAGGGTTTTTCGCCAGTATGAATTTTCAGATGCCGAGTAACATGTGAACCACAACTAAAGAATTTCCCACACTCTTTGCATTCATAAGATTTTTCACCAATATGAATTCTCTGATGTTGAATAAATTGTGAGTTCTGACTAAAGGCCTTTCCACATTTCTTACATTCAAAGGGTCTGTCTTCATTATTCATTATTTGCTGGAGAGTAAGGAATGTCTGTTGAATAAATGTGGGCATGTATTCCGGAGTGAATATTTCTTGACTGAAATGCCCATTTGGATATCCCAGTTGTTTTGCAAGGCGGCTTCTATATTCCAAAACATCTCCAAAACTGGAGTACTCAAGGCCATGCTTTGTAAGTCCCATTATCTCCCTCTGGCATAATTCTATTTCATAAACTTCCTTCTTTAGAGATAATAACTTGGTTTCACACATTGATTCCAGATCTGAAAGAAAATAAAATGGTAAATGTTTTTTCCTATTTGTGAAAAGTTAAACTTTTATAATAGAAATGGAAAAATTAAAGAATAGTATCTACTAGGAAATGACACAGGGTTCACAAGGATATCTGTGTTATCTGAAAAAATGGACAAGAAAGACAAATAAATTAGTAAGATAATGCGGGAAGCAGGGGAAGGTAACTATGCAAATAAGTTACTACAATGATACTCAAATACGGATGTGGATCAGAATCACCTGGAAAGGCTGGTAAATATACAATGGTTGGGCTATTTTCCATATTAAAACATGACTAGCCATATATATGATATATGACATACATGTCATATATGATATACATATATCCATATAAGTATGCATGTGTGTATATAAGTATATCATACAATATGTGTAACATGAAGTGGGTCATTTTCTAGCCTCCATTAAAGGTCTCCTGAGAGAAATAAATGCGTACGGGGAAGATTCCTTGGCTCTCAGGTATAATAAAGCCCCACACTGAGCTTCAAAAACACCTGGAATTTCCTGACAGGAGGTCTTTGTTATGCTAATAAGGTAGTTCAAGGTGGGACCTTAGAAAGCTTCAGGGTGGGGTCTGATTACCTGAAACACTAGCTTGTGATTAGAAGGTTGGGATTTTCAGCTGCCTGATCTCTGAGGAGAGAGAGGCTAGAGACTGAGTGGCCAGGGATTTAATCAATTGTGCCTGTGTAATAAAACCTCAAAAAAAATGCTGAGCAGTAAACTCAGTGGAGCTTTCTGGTTGGTAAACGCATTGATGTGATAGGAGCAGGACAAACTGACTCCAAAGGGAGAGGGCATGGAAACTCTGTCCAGTTCCAGATCTTGCTCAAACATGTATCCTTTATAATAAAACTGTAGCTTTAAATACAGAGCTTTCCTGTTTTCTATGAGTCACTCTAACAAATTACTGAACCTGAGACCTTGGAAACCCCTTAATTTATTGCTGTTAGCTGGCTGACCTGCAGGTGGCCCGGGGACTCCCAAGACTTGCAGCTGGCATCTGAAGTGAGGACAGTACTATGGAAGACTATGAGGGCTGCACATTCTGAATAGTGTCAGAGGTGAACTGCAGTATACCCAGTTGGGGTGGAAACAGAATAAGTTCTTTAATAAAGGATACAGTGGATACAATATGAATGTGGTGGCCGGGCATGGTGGCTCACGCCTGTAATCCCAGCACTTTGGGAGGCCAATGCAGGCAGATCACCTGA